CAGTTTCAAGAGGCTCTCAACCAGAAGTCGCTCCCGAGCCTCTTCACTACTGGGATCACTTATTTGGTTCCTAAAGACCAGGGTACCACAGACCCGAACAAATACCGCCCCATCACGTGTCTACCGACCATATACAAGACACTAACATCCATTTTGAGCGCGAGAATCACTCGTCACCTGGAGCTAAACCAGGTGATGTCACGCGCTCAAAATTAATGTCGGGGCGGTGGTTGTGGAACCAAGGAACCACTGCTTATTGACGCATTAATTGGCAAAGTGGTGAAACGCAACCTTCGGAACATCTCCGCTGCCTGGATAGACTACAGAAAGGCATTCGACTCGGTACCCCATAAATGGCTAAAGAGGGTCCTCAAGCTGTACAAGATTGACTGTACAGTTAGAGACTTCCTCGAGCAGTGTGTGGGGCAATGGAGTACGATCCTTTGTCACCTGGACGAGTGGGGAACGGCTGCGGAAAGCCACATAAGGATAAGAAAGGGTATCTTCCAGGGCGATTGTCTGTGTCCAATCTGGTTCTGCCTCTCCTTGAACCCCCTCAGTAGTTTACTGGAGGGCTCCGGGAGAGGTTTTCAGCTTCGAAAAGGAGGTACACAAGTGACCCAGCTTTTCTATATGGATGACCTCAAGTTGTTCGCCTCCAGTCCCTCCCATCTTGTGGAATTGCTAAACATCACTTGTAATTTTAGGAATTCTATTGGAATGGAGCTGGGAACGAATAAGTGGGCGGTACTCCATGTTGAAAGGAGAAGGGTTGCTAACTCTGAGGGCATAGATTTATCTATGTCCGGCAACTTAAAGACCCTTTCCGAGACTGAAACGTACCGATACCTGGGTATGTCACAGAACATCGGTATTGATGAGGCTGGTATGAGGAAGTCAGTTTGCGACGTGTTTTATGCACGCTTGACCAAAGTGCTAAACAGCCTATTGTCTGGTGTAAATAAAACACACACATATAACGGTTGGGTCATGTCTGTCCTCATGTATACCTTTGGCATATTCAGGTGGACTCAGACTGAACTTAACGCCCTGGATAGAAAAGTCCGCACTACTATGACGTCCCATAGGATGCATTATCCGAGATCATCGGTAATGAGGCTGTACTTTATATATATATATATATATATATATATATATATATATATATATATTTGGTATTAATATGTACCGATTATTCACTCACACACACATACTTATTCATTCTACACACTTGCAAAAGTTCTGTTGTAATTCTGTCCTCACCAGATATCTTGCCGTTTTTAAGATGCTGGGAAGCCATTCTAATTTCGTTCAAATTAAAGTCCGGGACTTGATCAGAATATTGTCTGTCTAGTCGCCAGCAATGTCGCTGACGTTATTGGTCTTTATCTTAGTCAACAACCACTTCAAAATTTATAGTTTTTGGGCAACTAATGGATTGAACTCTTCCTAAATAAGCGGGGCTGTTTAATTCTAAAAATTTTTGTTTCTTACGACACACATTCAGCTTCACCAACCACACGGACTTTTTAGATGAATTGCAGCATAACATCAAAAACAACTTGGACGAATTGCTTAATTAGGCAAAACCTGGTGACCACTTCATAGCAACCCACGACATTCTTATTGACTCAGCAATCGTTGAGAATTGAAGACTTGTGAACTAAGCGTGAGTACGTAGTACTATTATTTATTTTGTGGCGTGAGGCAAATGGAATGGGGAATTCCGCGCTAGATAGTAGGCACTTCATTGTTACCCAATATTACAATGAAGTTACAGCCTATATACGTCCAGCAACAGCTGGGCACAGGCCTCCTATCATTTCTGAGAGGGTTTTCAGGGCAAAGAAATGTTCTCCGCGGTACGTATGGGCATGCGTGTTGGCAAACTTCACATGTCTTTGAAATATATTTTTTTTCTGTTCTTATTTCTCAAACATACACGTTTCCTCACGTTTTCTTCAGTGCCGAGCAGAGTGCCAGCGGGAATCGAACCCGGCTTTTTGCTTAGCCATTGAGCTGCCATAACACAACTATAATACGAGGGCGGCACTGAAAATTTCGGGAATCAAGAAAGTGACACAACATTACTATTTAAAAATGTATTTATTGCTTTTCGAAGTATTCTCCGCGAAATTTGACACATTTTTCCATACGATGAAACCAATCATTGAAGCAACCATTCCATTCGGAAGTTGGGGTCTCCAAAATGGCCGTTTTGTAGGCGTCCACAGCTCCTGAAGGTGATGAAAATCTCTGTCCACACAATTTATTCTTTATTTTAGGGAAAGTATAGAAATCATTAGGGCTTAGGTCTTGGCTGTACGGCGGATCGTCAAATAATTCTATGTTTTCTTGCTTTAAAAACTCTTTTGTTCTGTGTGCGGTGTGAGAACTCGCATTGTCGTGATGGAGGATGATGCGGCAGTAGTTACGTTGTACCAGTTCTGGCGCACTGAGTCAGAAGTGGTACAAGTACGACGTTCGTCGACTCACGATCCTAAAAAAAAAGGTTGCATGCTCTACGAATCTGCGGTCCATTTTTGCGTAGGATGCACGGTTCCGGAGATGTGTAGATCAATTAACTCTTATCTAATTGATATCCGGTGAAGGCCTCCACCGTCATTAGCGCTCCATTGTTCTTATCTACTTATCTATTGTTCATTGAATACCGTCATTATCTATTCTTCCTCAGCGTGGTGCTATTGTATTATACTGCTTTGTTCCTATCTACACTAATCTGACTCATCAATAAAACACATTACCTAATTTTGTTAAAATTCTTATTTACAAAATACAAAATCTTATTACTTATTATCTATAAAATAGGAGCGAAACATCTCATCCACTAAAATATCGTTGTACAATGTGTTCCCTGTAAATATACTCCCATACATCCCTGAAACATATATAGCAAATACATTAAGCAATATTCGCCACAAACTGAAGTCCACTCATTCTGAATCCTATCAACATTCCAGTTCCATCTTTTACAATTTCTTTTTAAAAACTCTAGATGATATCGTACAGGTGCACGTCCGAATGAATCAAAATATTGACCGACGTCATTCGTATCGATATATATAAAGCTACCCAATGTGACCCTGGTTTATCATCTGTATCCAAATTGCATATTATATACGTTGGTACGTGGGTGTACATGGGCAGTTTATTGGCGGCATAAACATTATTTTATAGAGTGGGGTGAATTTTTTTCAGATGTTGTTGTACATCTAGTGTATCCATGATATTACTGCTATTAGTAGATTATTACAGTACAATCTACTCAATGACTAACATAGGAATGATCAATTATAGTGAATTCTAAATATTAAATTGCATTATTTTGTGTTATACAAAACGTATTTGAGTCATCAATACACTGAACAAGACGCGACACGAAGTAATGTTGAGATAAGCAACAAAATGTGAGATAAGCTTGTTGACGCATAAAGTTATTATCAATTCAACTGTAGAAATTCTTTAGAATAGAATTATTACTTACTGGTACTATATAAGACCAAGCAACTGCAGCCATGGAGTTAGTGTATGGTCGTTTGACCATAGTGGATCTATCAATACTACATTTGTGTTACTTCAACGCATCAAAGGCCATAGATGTAAGTGTTTATTCTATTGACACACTTACTTTTCTTTCTGTTATTTTCTTACGTGTGTATGATTTAGTGTTAACAAATTATATTTAAATATTGTGTGTGTATATGATTAAGCCGTGGTAGCTCAGATCGTTAGCGCAAGCTGTAAATTTCACAGTACGCGACGTGGGTTCGATCCCCGCCGGCACCAATTAAATTGTTAATTGCAATTTTAAGTGTTTATTCTATTGACAACCTTACTTTTCTTTCTGCTATTTTCTTACGTGTGTATGATTTAGTGTTAACAAATTATATTTAAATATTGTGAGTGTACCGCATCTACGAATACTAGAGTAGTTAAAAAATACTTTTTTAACAATGACAGTCATTAGTTGATCATTAGTGAATGTGATTCTGTTTACTTAAATTACAGGAAGACAAGAGCAGAAGGAAGAAATGGGATGATGGGAAGTAATGAAGCATTGTTATGTGAAGTTTGTTGGAACAAACATATTTTTAGTCACGTGTAAATACTTTTATCATTTTGGTTCAAAATGACACAAAATCTAAAAAATATTAGATACATCATCGACATGGACGGATTTTACATTACATATCCTCATAAACATTTTCAATGTAGAGAAATGGCTATTCTAGACGTAAAACTATCTAATAAAAATGATGCGTTTATCGATCATTATTTGTTTCGGCCAAGTTATCCTTTCAATTATTTGTCACCAAAAGACAAAAAAACTGTTCGTTATTGTGAAACACACGTGCACGGCATTCCATATTTTGATGTGACCGAAGAATAAAAATGTGCTTGTAGGCACATTTTAATTTATAATAATATAAATTAACATGTGCCTTACATGTTTGTAACATATAAAAACATATTCCAGCTACCAACTATGATAACGTTGAGCATATTTTAAGAGTGTTAAATGGTATCGGAGAGAACTTGAAATTTCGCTATGATGAAATAACAAAATTTGTGTCTATTTCTGTTTTGGATAAAAATATAACATCCTTAACATTATCACCCAAATTAAGTTTACAACTAGGTTATGAACCAAATAAAAAACTCCTAGAGAGAAATTTTGGAAAGTGTCCTGCTAATTTACACTTAGGGTTACCATCTCAACTATTTCTATATTGCGACATTATCGATCCTCAGATTGTGGGTGATGTTATGACTCCTTTACTAAGAGTCATTTCATTAGATCCTACAAAATACATTTATGGTGCAAATAAAATGCACGTTTTCTCTCAACCTCACTACTTACCTGTTATGCGAAGAGAGTTCGATACGCTGGAAATAGTTATAAGATCGAGCACAGGACAAAAAATACCATTCCAGTTTGGAACCGTGTGTATTAAACTACATTTCCGAAAATTATAATAATGAATTCTCTTCGTGATCATCATAAATGTCCATACGAAAATTATTATACACATCAAGCTGGGTCAGGAGTTGGAGTAATTTATAAGGGTGCACCATACCAACACGGTCATGGTATTGGGAGCTCCTTGGGGGGGGGGTTATTTAGATCAGTTTTACCTTTACTTTCAAGTGGTGCTCGAGTGATTGGTAAGGAGGCATTAAGCGCTGGAGTAGGACTTTTATCGGATATGGTTCAAGCGCGCCCTATGGAATCCTCAATAAAAGATCGTCTAAAGCAAGTTAGTACAAATTTAAAACGAAAGGCTGATGAGAAAATTGATCAATTTAACATGACAGGATCTGGGTATAAAACTAAAAGAAAACGATTGACCTCGTTCATTCCTCCATTAACTGCTAAAGTGCAAGCTGCGAAAAAACTTGGTCACAAACCAAAAAATATCAAAGATATATTTTCAAATTAAATATGTCTTTCCTTCATAATCATTCTTGCGAGTGCGTTAAGTCAGAATTGGATTTGTTTGCACTACCGCCTACACAAACTAGCATTTAAAATGGATTGTGGATTCATTATAAACCAATTTCATCTCTTGGTGATGATGGACCTATCGAGTTTCAAGTTCCTGGGACAGGTGATGTGGGTGTGACTACATAGATTTGTCTCATACATTACTCCACATAAAGGCAAAAGTATTGAAATCAAGATTCAACTAACTTGATATCTACTACAATAGTAGCACCTGTAAATAATTGGCTGCATTCACTTTTTTAGTCAACTTGATGTTTATTTAAACCAAAAACTTGTATCACCACCTAATAATACCTATGCATATCGAGCATACATGGAAACCCTTTTAAACTATGCTCCTGCTGCTAAACAATCTCATCTTACTTGTAGTCTTTGGTATGATGATACAGCAGGAAAAATGGATTCTACGGATGGTAAAAACATAGGATTTGTTAAAAGACAGGAATTGATTATTGAAAGTAAGGAAATAGAAATGATTGGTCATCTTCACGGTGACATTTTCAACCAAGATAAATTTTTAATTAATAGTGTTGAAATGGGTGTTAAATTGGTTCGATCAAGAGTTTTAATTTAATTACTGGGTCAAACGATGTAAAGTTTAAAGTTTGCATTACGGACGCAACTCTTATTGTTCGACGAGCACGAGTTAATCCAAGTGTATTACTCGCACATCAAAAAGTTTTAGCTTCTACCACTGCTAAATATCCTATTACTCGAGCTGAAGTAAAAGTTTTAACAATTCCATCGGGTGTTCAAGGAAAAACTCTTGATAATATATTTTTAGGACAGGTACCCAAAAGATGTATAATTGGATTTGTGAACAATTCTGCATTTAATGGTTCCCTTACTAAAAATCCATTTAACTTTGAAAACTATGGTATTAATTCTTTCAGCTTATATATTGATGGTCAACAAATACCTTCAAAAGCTTTGCAACCATCTTTTAATAATAGTATATTTACATCAGCATATCATACTCTATTCTCGGGAACTGGTATTCACTTTCTTAATGAAGGAAATGGAATCTCTTGTGAACAGTATGCCAAAGGTTACTGTCTATTAGCATTTGACTTAACTCCTGATTTATCAGCCAACTCATCAGCTCATTGGAATCTCATAAAGCATGGTAGTGTAAGATTAGAAGTACGATTTGAATCCTCACTAATACAAACAATTAACTGTATAGTTTATGCTGAGTTTGATAATATTATTGAGATAGATAAAAACAGAAATGTTACTGTAGACTATAGTAGTTAAGGTTGTAATATGTGTTGTGTGTTAGATTTTATGAGTTATGTGTAATGCATTTTGTGTGTATGTAACTATGTAAATCGTTATAAAATTAAATAAAACAAATTGTATGCCATATATTATTTTTTATTTCTTTATAAATCTTCTATTTAATCTAATACAAAACACTGTTCGAGTTTAAAGTTACATCGGACTCTCTCATTAGATCATCAATAATAACGAGATGTGGGTTTTCACCATCAAACATATTAAGATTTGGAATTCCTTGATGATAGTTAACATTTGGTAAATTATATAAAGGTTGCATTTCATCAAAGCACCATGTGATCTGATTAAAATCACAATTACATATTTCTGTAACTGATTTTATGAAATTTATTACAAAATTTGACTTCCCACATCCACGCAATAGCAGTAAACGGATGTATAAGTGAAACATTACACACGTCTAAAGTTCTAAGGGGTGAAATAAAAAATGAAAGTGTTGGTGTAAACGATTAATATATATTGTGTACTATAACTAATGTTTTTGGGAAATCAAACAAAATTTATGATTAATTGAAAATTTTATTTTCAAGTAATAACCACTTGTAAAAAAACCCACACTTCGTCACAAGAACAATGCAAAATTTTGTGATTATTTTTTGCAAATATATGATTATTACACACATAACGTTTGTTTATATGACATTTACCAAATCATTGTATTTTGGACATTTGTATTCTTCAATATTAAAAATTCTATCATTCGTCGTCAACATTTTTAAAAATTGTTTTTCTGTTGAACCACCTTTGTATGCGATCACTTCGTCTTTGCACAAGTTTCTAATATACCGATTTAATATGGGGATGATGTTCTCTTGTTTGTAGGCACATTTTAATTCTTCGGTCACATCAAAATATGGAATGCCGTGCACGTGTGTTTCACAATAACGAACAGTTTTTTTGTCTTTTGGTGACAAATAATTGAAAGGATAACTTGGCCGAAACAAATAATGATCGATAAACGCGTCATTTTTATTAGATAGTTTTACGTCTAGAATAGCCATTTCTCTACATTGAAAATGTTTATGAGGATATGTAATGTAAAATCCGTCCATGTCGATGATGTATTTAATATTTTTTAGATTTTGTGTCATTTTGAACCAAAATGTTAAAAGTATTTACACGTGACTAAAAATATGTTTGTTCCAACAAACTTCACATAACAATGCTTCATTACTTCCCATCATCCCATTTCTTCCTTCTGCTCTTGTCTTCCTGTAATTTAAGTAAACAGAATCACATTCACTAATGATCAACTAATGACTGTCATTGTTAAAAAAAGTATTTTTTAACTACTCTAGTATTCGTAGATGAGTTACACACACAATATTTAAATATAATTTGTTAACACTAAATCATACACACGTAAGAAAATAACAGAAAGAAAAGTAAGTTTGTCAATAGAATAAACACTTAAAATTGCAATTAACAATTTAATTGTTGCCGGTGGGGATCGAACCCACGTCGCGTACTGTGAAATTTACAGCTTGCGCTAACCATCTGAGCTAATGCGGCTTAATCATATACACACACAATATTTAAATATAATTTGTTAACACTAAATCATGCACACGTAAGAAAATAACAGAAAGAAAAGTAAGTGTGTCAATAGAATAAACACTTACATCTATGGCCTTTGATGCGTTGAAGTAACACAAATGTAGTATTGATAGATCCACTGCGGTCAAACGACCATACACTAACTCCATGGCTGCAGTTGCTTGGTCTTATATAGTACCAGTAAGTAATAATTCTATTCTAAAGAATTTCTACAGTGGAATTGATAATAACTTTATGCGTCAACAAGCTTATCTCACATTTTGTTGCTTATCTCAACATTACTTCGTGTCGCGTCTTGTTCAGTGTATTGATGACTCAAATACGTTTTGTATAACACAAAATAATGCAATTTAATATTTAGAATTCACTATAATTGATCATTCCTATGTTAGTCATTGAGTAGATTGTACTGTAATAATCTACTAATAGCAGTAATATCATGGATACACTAGATGTACAACAACATCTGAAATAAATTCACCCCACTCTATAAAATAATGTTTATGTCGCCAATAAACTGCCCATGTACACCCACGTACCAACGTATAGGATTCAGAATGACATATAGTTTCAGGGATGTGGAGTATATTTACAGGGAACACATTGTACAACGATATTTTAGTGGATGAGATGTTTCGCTCCTATTTTATAGATAATAAGTAATAAGATTTTGTAAGAAAACATAGAATTATTAGACGATCCGCCGTACAGCCAAGACCTAAGCCCTAATGATTTCTATACTTTCCCTAAAATAAAGAATAAATTGTGTGGACAGAGATTTTCATCACCTGAAGAAGCTGTGGACGCCTACAAAACGGCCATTTTGGAGACCCCAACTTCCGAATGGAATGGTTGCTTCAATGATTGGTTTCATCGTATGGAAAAATGTGTCAAATTTCGCGGAGAATACTTCGAAAAACAATAAATACATTTTTAAATAGTAATGTTGTGTCACTTTCTTGATTCCCGAAATTTTCAGTGCCGTATTATAGTTGTGTTATGGCAGCTCAATGGCTAAGCAAAAAGCCGGGTTCGATTCCCGCAGATTCGTGATCAGAGCATGCCAAAACTTTTTTTTTTTGAATCGTGAGTCGACGAACGTCGTACTTGTACCACTTCTGACTCAGTGCGCCAGAACTGATACAACGTAACTACTTGCGGCGGTTGCAGTTCTCTTTACGGAGTTCAGAAACGACCTGTGGCAAACAAACGCTAGCATACCATTCTGCATTAACCGTTCTTTGTCCCTCAAGAGGAATAGTCGTAACATGGCCGGTTTTGGAGACAAACGTGGCCACCATTTTTTTTGCAACACTCCGTGAACGAACAATTTTTGTTGGCTTTAACTCATTTTCGAACACCCAAACTCGTGACTGATTTTTTGTTTCGGGTTCGTACGCATATATCCAGGATTCGTCACCTGATACGATGTTGTATACAGCATTTGAGGATCCTGCGTGGAATCTTTCGAGAGTTCTGACGCACCAACGAGCCGCTTTCTCTTCACAGAGCGAATGCGGTATCCATCGGGAAAACAACTTTTTTACACCTAATTGTTCATGCAAGATTATTTGTAGTTGACTCATGCCAATGTCTAAAGTTGCCTGAATTTCGCGGTATGTCACATGTCGATCTTCCTCAATCAACGTTTTCTTGGGTGACTGTAGTTTTTGGACGACCTTGACGGGGATCATCACTGAGCTTGACACGTCCACGTTGAAATTCAACAACCCAGCGATAAATTGTGGTTTTGGATGGGGCTTCATCACCAAATGCAGAAATCATCCGGTCAACACACTGTTTTTGTGTTTAACCACTTCGAAAGTCATAATAAATCATCGCTCTTGAATTTTCTCGAGTCAATTCCATTTTCTCAACGACTAAACAAGTTTGACAAAACCTTGTGACAAGACCGAGAATCTTTTTTTAAAATAAATAAATGGTATTCAATTTTTATAACCAAGGAGTTTTCAATTAAAAAGATTTTAATATGACAGGAACAGTGGAAATATTCCATTCCCGATACTTTTAGTGCAGCCTAGGTATACCAAATTTCAATGCAAATTACAACTTTAGGAC